ATTGAAAATTATGTTGCTCTGATTTTAATAGTAGACATATTTGAATAAAACACCTTCCAAATTCACTATTCCTAAATAGAGAACACGATGGTTCCATACAAGGAAAAAAAAAAACGATGTAGGCATGAATATAGTTTCTGACTGAGTAAATAGTTGCGTAGGTTCAAAGCCACTTTCTTAGTATACCCCCTGTCAGAAACGGAATTTGGTAGGGTATCAGTTACAGGAAATTGCCACACCAAACATCAAGACAAAGTATATTCCTTCTCTCGTTTCATGACACCAGTTAAAGTTTTTCTTCTACTAGACTAACTAGTACTCAAAGAACTATAACTTTATCTGGCATATTATATAGCACATAATTTTGGGAAGATGCATTGATACCTCAGGTTCATTAGCTCTAAGTAATCTTAGCAAACCCGGTCAGGATTAGAACTTTACGCGCCGATTCCACTTTCCACGACGATTGCTGTTAAACTATATGCATATACAGTAAAATATATAGTCATGAATTTATCATTCTGTAGACGAAATGGGTTGGAAAAAAGGGTGTCCGAAAAAATAAGTGTTCATTTGTTAAAAATAGGAGGGATATACTTTGGGTGACAGATGACTTTATGAACAGCTCCATATACCGAGAGAGAGGGGAACTAAAGTTATTAAATAAGGGGAAAATACCTCCCCGTCCAGCATATGCTGAATAGAGTACCTGAAGTTTTTAATAAGAAGATTGTTTATGAGCAAATACACTCAACAACATCTTAATCAACTCATGTATCGATTTCAGTGAGTATCGGATAACTTAAAGAAAAGAAACATAAATTTAAAAAAATAATTACTAAGTACGTTATTCTATAATGTCTTCAAGAAATCGAGAGATTCTACTAGTCTAATTCCATAGATAATTACAGTGAAACCTCGGTTCTGGAATTTAATTCGTTCCTGAAAGCTGTTCGTGAGTCGAAAGTATTTTCATGAGAGGAATCAATGTAAAATGGATTAATTCGTTCATTGTTACTTGTTGATTGCTTATTTAAAGTTTTGCAACGGAAAATTAGGTACAATTTCATACACAAACCCAGTGAATCTTCAATGAAACCATTATTTAAATCCAACATCAAGTAAAATAAACAAAATAATAAACACATACAATATAAACGAATAATTTTTTTCCCTATGCAGAGGAGAGTTGATTGCGTAAGTGGAACGTGGTAAGGAAGGGGAAAGAGAAGATATAATTATTGTTTAGAAGGGGACACCCCACCCCTTCAATAAAAAAAAAAAAAAAAAACATGTCTTTCTGAAGTTTCTTCGTTTTCGTCAACAGAGAGTTTTTTTTTTATTTAGAAAGTTTGTTCATGAACCGATTTGATTGTGATCCGAAGTTCTATTCTATATATATATCTATTTATTATACACGAACACGAAAAACTGTGAAACCGCTAAAGCAACTTGAGTCCTCACTCCAGTATAAAAATTACGCAACCCGTGTACTAGTGAATACACTAATTTACTTATAAAATTCGGGTAATCGAAAAAGTATAAATTAATCCATGAAGGTGAAGCAAAAGAAAAATAACAGAAAAAATTCATAATTAAAAAGGATTAAAAATGAAGAATAATAACAAGAAATCCCTTGTGCAAATTAAATGAAACGACTCCTTTAGTTTACTTTCTTTCACCATTCGGTCGCACTGGATTGACAGGGTGCAATGGATTTCTATTTCTTTCTCAGATTAAGTCATTTGCAGTAGTGTGCAGTAATATGAATATATTTTCGGGGTATATGATGAAAATTGTTTGGCCTTGAAAAATATCAGATTTTTATCATGGCCAGACACTATTGTCTCGACTGTCGATTAGTTTTCTTATGGCCATTGTTTCCGATGGACGTTACTACAAGGAATCATACGAAAATTATAAAACTGCACGAAAACACTGGAAAGCCATACCAGTGAACAAATCAAAGTACTATAGACCGGCCTGGAAACTCTCCTGATTTAAATCAAAAAGAGAATCTGTGGTCAATCTGCAAGGAAGAACTTCGTGGAATAGTCATACGAAGTACGAACATGTGCAATAGGTCATGATTCATTGGAAAAATACGAACAAAATGTATATAATAAATGTATATAATAAATGGATTATTCGTTTTGTTTCAATTAATTTGCACAAGAGTGTCTATTTTAATAAAGAGATCGCATGCGTTCTTAACCAACTTCTGCATCCTTATACTGTGAACAAATTTTGACATTCTTTTCTTTGGTCAGTAAGTTTTAGTTCCTACTTGCTTATCTCTAGAAAAACAAAGGAAATTATTATTATTCTCTTCAAACTTTGTGACCTAGAAATTGATATTTTAACCAATTTCCCATTAAATTCCAGACAAATTCAGCGATGAGTTGCCGAAGGATGCTTTTCTAGAACTTTCTAGAATTTTCGAGTATTTTTTTTCAACTGCACTTAGAAATGGGCCCTATGAACCAATTTGTCACAGCTCTAGAAAAGTAGTCTGCAATCTTTTAAGTACCTTCAAGACTGCTTCACTGAGCTGCATGCGGCAAAATTCAAAGCCGGTGTCAACTTCGGGTCACAAATGATCATAGAATACAAGGAATTCCCCAATAAGCTCACTATGACGGAAAAAGCAATGGGCAACAGATTTGTCGTATTGGTTTGGGGCTTCCTGATGAATCACAATGCCGAAAATTATGTGGAGTATCCTTCATTTATTTACATTATTCGACTGTTATCCTAATCTTCATTGTCATATTCACAACGTTTCGGCCGTTGTACGCTCCACCCTTCTTCAGGTGATTAGAATGAAGAAATGAATAACAGTTAGAAAAAAAAAACATAGCAGTTTTATTAGATTACTAAGGATATTGCAAATGATGAAATTAAAAGTAGTTCCAATAGTTATCGAACTACTAAGAACGGTCCGGAATGAATCTAACAAAAAAAAAATCTTCAGGGGTAGGAAATTAGATACAAAACTGGAACCATTGAAATGATAGAATGGTTTGAACAGATAAAACATAAAGAAAGAGAATTCAAGCCAGTAGGAATGCTTAAATATCTGGAAAGTGTTTTTGCAGAGGACGGAAAAATGACCCGGAAATCCGTAGCCAGACGATGTTTTGCCAAAGCTAATCAAACAAGTCACAAGTAATAGTCGTTAGAAATTTTTAAAAAAAAGTGTAATTAACAACTGTTCATATCAGCCTCCCTATATGTCAGTGAATGCTGAACAATCTCTTGAAGAGACGGCTTCGTTTTATAGAAAGATGCTGAGAATACCATGGACTAAACATTTGAAAAATTAAGAATATAAATGATAAAGGAAAACAGAAAGAAGTCTTATACGTAGGTTCATAAAGAGTTGATATGTTTATGCCGCATAATTAGTAAAGATAGCCCGGACATTTACATGGCATAATAAAGGCAAGAATGACAAAGGAAAGAAGCAAATGTTTCTACCTAACGGGCATCTGTAAATAAATAGCAGTACGGACTGGAATGGATAGCGAAAAAAAAAACAATTAGTTTCATAAGTTAGATAATAGAGACTTAAAATAAAATTCATGTTTCACTGTTGAGTACAACTGCTAAGTAAAAGAAAAGTCTATCGCAAACTTTCGATGTCACTTTTTTTTTTAGGCCAAATCACCCCTTCAGGATGAGATACCGTTACTATTTAGAAGAAATGTTGAATCACTTGATTTATAAATTTACATATTACGACAATTAATGAGCGCTAAAAAGGATCGAAAATCATGGAAAGCTATGTTCACCAACATCCTCAAGGTAAAGAGCACATAGAAAAAAAATAGCTGGGACGTTGAGAAGACTTAATCTCGTGAAAACCCAGCGAGCTAATCTTCAAAAGAAAGAGGACAAGATTAAACAGAAAAGGAAACGAAAAAATAGTTAGCCATGAACAATAACTATTAATGGACAATAATAATAGCAACAGGGAAGATGTAATTGCAACCGTATTAATAGCAGCAGGAGTAGCAGTTTTTCTTCATAATTGCTATGAAGAGAAAATAATTGAGGAACTATACAAAAATATTTCAATCTGTAATTCACAAACGAAAATTGCATTCAAATTTTTTTATTGTTTAACGAAGAGCTCTTTAAAACAAAAATTCAAAAAAGCCTGATAAAATGTCTTTTGCAGTAAAATTTTGAATAGTTCTTTCAATATATTCTAATCACTGGGTTAAAAAGTACTGCAGATACACGCGTTTTTTTTTTATTTATTTTTTTAGACATCGTCTTAAATGACGGCGATATTGAAGAAGGCAGATGAAAAGCAAACGATAATTATGATTAAAGAAGAGCGGGAATTAAGAATTCTTTGCTGAATTTGGTTATCTGAATACAAACGTAAAGGGAGAAGGAAAGTGAGGGAGGGTTATTTAAAGAGAGTGTGTGTGTGAGTTGAACTAAAGCAAAAGAGATAGAATAATGAGATAAAGACTGAGTGGAAAAAGTAGCGATAATAAAGAAAGATTAGGAAGAGAGGCAGTGAGAAGTTATAAATATTGAGAGGAATGAGATTATATGGAGAGGAAATGAAAGGAGAAGAAATATAATATATATATATATATATATATATATATATATATATATATATATATATATATATATATATATATATATAGTGTAACCGGATATAAGAGAGTTGTCGTGACCGGAGAGGAAGTGTCTTATATCCGGGTTTCCTTTATATCCGTGTTTGGTCTATTTTATATACATTAACACAGGCTCTAATTTGGGACCAGAGAAAATCTCTTATATCCGGGTTTCTTTTATATCCGGGTCTCTTATATCCGGTTACATAGTATATATATATATATATATATATATATATATATATATATATATATATATATATATATATATATATAGAGAGAGAGAGAAAGAGACAGAGAAGGAGTGAGGTGTATGGATAGCGAGGGGGAGTTAAAATACCGAAAGTCAATGGTAACAATTTAGAGAAAAGTAGTAGTAGTAAGAAGAAGAAGAAGAAGAAGAAGAAGAAGGAGGAGGAGGATGAGGAGGAGCAGGTTGAGGAGGAACAGGAAGAGTAAAATGGGTAAGAAGAAGAGAGAAAGTTTAAGGGCTCTTGAAGTAAAAAGAAATAAACACAAAAGATACTGTACGTACGAGGAGAAGCAACACTCTATAAGCTTACTGTGAAAAAAGAGTTGTCAATGAAGAAAGAGAGAAGAAAGGGAAGAAGAAGAAAGGGAAAAAAGGAGGAAGAAGACTGAAAAATAAAAAAGAGGAGAACGAAAAAGATGTAGGAGGAAGATAAGTAGGAAGGAATATGAGAGAATGAACATTCTGAGAAGGAAAGAAAGAGGTAAAGTAAAGAAAGTTTGAAACAAAAAACAGGTAAAAACGACAGGGTGAAAAAAAGATTAAAAAAAACGATGAACGGAGAGAGATGAAAGAAAAAGATTAAAAAAAAAAGAGAAATAGAATTAGCTAGAAAAAAGATAGACTGTAAAAGGAGGAAAAGGAAATTCTATAAACGTGACCGATTTTCCGAAAATGATAAAATCGTGTATAGAATTAAACTTGTTAAACTGTCAAAAAAATTAAAAAAAATTAACAGAAAAAATAAAACCAGTTCCGCAGGTGTAATTTACAGACAGATTTAATCGAGCAATTAATAATATGAAAATTATTGATATCAGACACGCAATATATTCACAAAAAGCTTAAACAGTTTTATTTGATTAATTCTGATTTCTCTGAGAAAAACTGACCATTCGCAAAGAAACTTTTTATTCCTTGTGATTCAGCATAATAGATATCTTAATTAAATAATGAACATTGAGATTCATTCAACGTGTATTGGCTTTGGCCACAATATCTTGTGACTGACGTAAGCTTTGTACAAGAGCGCCTACCGGAAAGTGATGGGTCGAATGCTTGTCACGCAGTCCGGTTCTCTAATCTAGTGATTTCGATATCCAGTGTGTAGCCTATTTGTATGAATCTGTTTCAGACATAAAATGTGTTTAATATTATATTCTAGCAATAGTACCCGGTATTGACTGGGCTCGGCCCCCTATCCTTTCCTACGCGGTCGTTTCGTTTTTAATAGATATGAATATACTATGAAATGGAATTAAACTAATTGTCGTAATTATAGTATGTTGAAACGTTTATATATTTGGTAGTGGGGATTTTTTTTAAATTTTAAGTCATTTCGCCGTTCTGTGTGAGGTTGGGATCTTCTGGTCAGAATGAAAGGTAGAATTAAAAAAGCTGAAGACGTCAACCAAACACACGAAGGAAACGAGTTGTCATTAAAAAATCTGTTCAACTTTATCTAATTTATAGACTTTGTTTAGATTGGTTTGGTTTGGTTTGGTTAGTTTTATGGTATTATCTACCTTAATGTGTTATTTAATTCCGAAAACTTTTTTTTTCTTCAAGAATGTATTGCTGGTAATATTTTCTCCGTAAAAAATGTATTGCTGGTTATATTTTTTTCTTTAAAAATGTATTGCTGGTAAAATTTCTTTCTTCAAAAATGTATTCCTGGTAATTCTTTTTCTTCTAAAATCTATTGATGGTAATATATTTTCTTAAAAAATGTATTGCTAGTAATATTTTCTCCTTCAAGTATGTATTGCTTGTAATCTTTTTTCTTCAAACATTTTTGTTCAAATATGTATTGCAAGTAATTTTTTTTTTCTTCAAAAATGTATTGCTGGTAATAATTGTTTCTTCACAAGTTCATTTCTGGTAATAATTATTTACAAAAATGTATTGCTGATAATATTTTATCCGTAACAAATGTATTGATGGTAATATTTTATTTTCCTTAAAAATGTATTGCTGGCCTGGCAATATTATTTCTTCAAATATGTATTGCTGGTAATACTTTTTCTTCAAAAATCTATTGATGGTAATATATTTTTTTCTAAAATGTATTGCTGGTAATATTTTCTCCTTCAAGAATGTATTGCTGGTAATATTTTTTCTTCACACATGTATCGCTGGTAATAAAACCTATATTCACACTTTCCTAGTTTTTTAAAGCCTGTTTGTGGGTTACATACTTGCCCATAGCTGGTACCCTACCGGGTGTTACCAACCCGGGTCAGTGTGGAATTCGGAACACCAGAACTTAAGAGGTGGTTCCCCGCTCCTCAAAACCTCTTGATCAGAGGCCTTTTCTGTTGGATGTAGTTTATCGTTTTACCCAGGTTGCCTCATTTGAGGGGGACATACCCCTCTATACAGGTGCCGTCGGCGTATTTCGAAGCCCCAGCAGACAGGCCTCTTTTGTTCTGATTTTATATTCTACTAACTTGCATATTTGGTAGTTTATTATTTTATATACGGCAAGTTCATTTATAATAACTTATATTTGACAAATTTTCTAAATATATTTTGAAAAATTGTTGCCTTCTCTATAACAGTCTCTATTTATTCCTTTTCACTAATGTACAGGAGTGATTAAAAATAATTCATACTTATGCCATAATATATATTTAACATTGTCTCACTGCATTTTGCTCATGTGTGCTATAGTTGATATAATTGTGGTCAGTTTTCTTGCTGCTGTTACAGTGTAAACATGGCCGCTCCGTTAGTAGTATGCACCAAAGAAGAAGAAAGAGCAATGATCCGATTTTTCTGGTCGGAAGATGTGTCAGAGGCTGACATTTATCGGAGGTTACTAACACAATACGGCGAGAGTGCGCTATAGCTTAGATGTATTAGAGGACAGAAAAGTATAAAAGAGCAGGACTAATGTAATGCACGAAGAGTTATCATCAGTGGGGTAGCATGTACTCTGCAGATTTGGATCACTGTTCTCTTTCCTCCTTGTTACATATTGCTAAAGAGCCAGTCTTTTTTGCACTGTTAAATCAGCAAGCAACCTATGCGATCAATCTCAAACTTCGATCATCTAACCATAATTGTACCAACTATGAGCATGCATGAATAGAAGGCAGTGTAACAAATCTAAAGGTATGTTTTGCGAAAATCCGGGTAATTTCGGTCTTGCCCGCGTATATTTGTAACTGACGAGTAGTGGATTCATTAAACCTTCATATTTTACGTGTCGTGTCAGTTCAAGACTTGGGCAATCATGGATTTCCGTAACGTTGTATCATTTGTAGCTTTGCAAGTATTTTTCCCCATTGCCACTTCCAGTCTCCGACCTGCCATCCATTTAAACAAGATTTTTTTTCCGTAGGTGACGTTGCCTGATGTTTCTCTCTGGTGCTTTTGCATTCAGTATGTCCTGAGAGTTTTTAATTCTTCAAGAATTCATTCCTGACTCTGTGCCCAATATATTTCAACTGTATCACTGATTCTAAATACAAGTCTCCTATTCTTCCCCCCCTCTTTTTTTTTCTCAAAACTTCCTCGTTGCTCACATTATTCTCTCGATGATATTCTTCGAGTCATTCAGGAGAGTCACATCTCTGTTGCCTCAAATCTCTGAAACTGTGATAGAATTGTCCAGCATTCACTGCTCTACAGATTGATATTACGTCGCAATCCAGAATATTTCATTTTCTTTCTAACAAAATTTTCCTGTTTCCTATTACAGAGACTAGGCGATTTTTGCTTTGTTTTGTTTTAGTAGTAATACTTTTTACCTACACCGGTATCTTATCAAGTAGATAGCTACTTAACTGCTTCAAGTTAGATCTGAGGCTAAATACTGCATTTGCAAGGAGACAAGACGCACTCTTTACAAAGGTATATAAGAGACTACTCCCCATTGCAACGCATCTAAGCCCCATAGCTGTCAATTTAATGTTTTGGACGATGGTCCCCTAGTCATATAACCAATGCAGTGGATAGAGTGTTCTATTTTTTGTGTGTGTATCTATATATATATATATATATATATATATATATATATATATATATATATATATATATATATATATATATATGTGTGTGTGTGTGTGTGTAAAAATGTACATGTCAACCTGTGGCAGAGTGGTTATAATGTTAAGTTTCTAACCATGAGACTTAAGATCATATTTCCCATGATAATTTTGCCAAGGAGGTAACTCTTTGCTAATATTGGCCAACGATAGTGACCCCAGTATAAAGATGTTTTGGGAAGAACCTAAAAAACAAAAAAAAAAAAAATACAGCACATAAGCCATCAATGACCTTGTTTACCGACTAAACACAGGAGATTATTAGTTCTTTTCTAGTAATTGTAATTTACGTCTGCTCAACATATTTGCTCTCGAAACCACAGATAGACGCAGTTGCAATTTACACCTAGATAGGTATATATATATATATATATATATATATATATATATATATATATATATATATGTTTGTGTAAATTTTTTTTATTATCTTGTTTAGCTTTTTTTTTTATTGGTGTTGTTATTTTCCTTTTTATATTCTAATGAGCCTTGAGTTAATATCTGAGAAATTTTATTAGAAAGAATAATCATCAAAATATCTGTCTATATTTCTGAGATGAGATATTATGTATACTATTTACATTATTTGTACTATTGTGCTCATCTTTTTTGCCATATTTATTATAATGTTTCGGCCGTTGTACGCTCCGGCCTTCTTCAGTTGGTTGGAATGTCGAACTGAACCCTTTATTTCGCTCACTGGGTTAGACTGTTCTAGTCCCACATGCCATGTCTAATGGATGCCAGTTATCTCCTTTTAATTCCCCTTTCAAAGTTCTCCCCCGCCGTAACCAGGTATTGAATTCAGTCTTTTAGTCCTGTTATTGGATCTAACTAACACCTTTATCCACTGTGCAATGTGTCCTTGTTAGACATGGAACGTGGAACTAGAACAGTCTACCCCAGTGAGCGAAATAAAGGGTTCAGTTAGACATTTCAACCACCTGAAGAAGGTTGGAGCATACAGCGGCCGAAACGTTGTGATAAACATGCCGACAAATATCAGGACAACAGTTCGAATAATGTAAATACTCTTCAAAATAATCGTTTTTTACAATTATTTCAAAAGACCAGTCAGGAAATAAACACGAAAAGTTTTAATTTTAAAATAATTGTTTCCAAAATGTGATAATATATATTCGTTATCTTCAAGAAGGAAATATTGTTTAAAAGTAAAATAAACGCTGTTAATTACTACGACAAGCTTAGAAGTGCATGATAGAGCTGAAAATATTACATGCATCAAATTCAACTGTTCCTAGTAATAAAAGATTTTTTTATTTCCAGGAAACTGACATCTGACTGTTCAAATAAGACTTTAAAAAAAGTCACTATTAACAGATATGATGCTATCATAATTGCAACACTGATTCCCAACAAAGTCTTTTTCGTGTTGGTGAACTAAGGATAGTCAAATTAGGAAAATAGCGAGGCTGGTCAACAAGTTCAATCACAGACAGCAACTATTGAAACCAAAGTCTTGTGTGCTGCAGCATTGTCAGATTCCACTGGTGTTTAGTCTCGATAGACTTTCGTAACAGTCCAAGCAAATTAGAATAGGACTCTCCATTCTTGGTGAGATCATTTCAACTGAATGCCTTTTGTATCCTCCCAAAATGAATTCCATAAACATTATCTTTCATCGTCAACATTCTGAACAAGGCCTTTACGTAAAAGCCCTCGATTATGATGACTTATGACCGTACTACCATAGGCCAAAACTGATGCTAAATGATTCTGTCGATTAAATTTCACTCACAATGCTTGGGTCCACGCGTGGTATGTTTGTCACTCAGTTTTCAAAGGTGCCGCAAGCAGGGATCACCTCTCCAAGCCGATAGCATGAAGAGGCCTTCTTCTTAACAAATCAACAATGGGGAGGTTCGAACCCGAGTCTCATGGTCGGAATGTTCTAACGACTCAGGCATGGCATTTATATTATATATCCAACCAGAATTAAGTAATGGTGGAGAACAACGATTACAAATTTTGTTCATATTGTATATATTTATATAGACTAATTTAAAATGTCAGTAGATATAAATCTCTCACAATTTTTGCACTTGAATATATGCTGTTTCCTTTTAGAACGTTGGAACTTCACAGCTTCCTGTCTTTTTTAACACTAATAAGTTCTTATCTGTTTATAATATCTATATACTTTTATTCTGTTATTTAAAGTATGGGCGAAGTTGAATGGATAGAACGTTTGCTTTACGACCTTGAGATCCATGTTCGAATCTTATCATGGTTGAAAGGTGACTTTTCGATGGTATCGGCCTGGGGAGGTGGTCATAGCGCGCGGCGCCATTGGTTAGTGCCTGAGAACCATACCAAGATTTGACCCAAGCCTTGTTAGGGAAACTGGGTAGACGGAACTAATTGGGAGCTGTCGGTGGTTGGGTTAACACAAAGTCACAAATCATCGTGACGGAGGTTTTCTCCAAACACACCGAATAATGCGTTCTCTCCAAGAAAGTAGAATTAAGTTTTCGCTCAGCATAGTTGCAGTATAAACCACAGGTGGCTATGTGTGCGCTGAACTAACAAAAATGTGCCTGAGCAGGCGTCTGCAACAGGGATTGGCTAGCTGCCCTATTAGACAGGGATTGGCTAGCTGCCCTATTAGACAGGGATTGGCTAGCTGCCACTTATTTACAGATACCCATTGCATGGGTTACTTGCTGTTCCGCCTATTTCGAGTATGCTGTAATAGTGTTAAAGTTTCATATACCTAAGAGGTTTCAACTACCTATATATGATTGTTATCAGCAGTTTTCATTGCAGTTCTTATTCTACTTAAACCGACCTCGTTGCTCATATGCCTGCCCACGCTTTGTCGACATTCGTCAATAGAACCGCATCTATTATTTCTTCAATTCTCTTCTTCAGACACGAGGAAATTGCACAACATTTTTTACCGCAGAAGAAATTAGATATCATAAGGAGGATAAGCCCTTTTTTCTTTTTTTTCTAAGGATATTTCCCCTAATTACTCTGTTTTGTTTTCCTTATCTTTTGCTGAACGCTATTTATTACTATTTCTCTATGTCTTCGTCTATCGGATTCAAGCGTTCCATCGTCTGTTCCTACATTACCTAGAATTGAATTAACAGGACACACGGCGCAGTGGATAAAGACGTTAGATTGATCCAGTGACAGGACCCAAAAGAGTGTGAGTTTAATACCCAGTTAAGGCAGTGGCGAACTTGGAGAGGAGAATTAACAGGAGATAACTGACATCCATTAAAACATGACACGTGGAACTAGAACAGTCTACCCCAGTGAACGAAATAAAGGTTCCGTTCGACATTCCAACCCCTGAAGGCCGGAGCGTACAACGGCCGAAACTTTGTAATAAATATGGCGACAAAGATTTTTTACAAATTATTTCTGTTATTAAAATCTATTTTTAGACTTTCATAGTACTTGACCCAGTTTACAGGTGCTACCACCTCGGGTCAGGGTGAACCTGGGAACACCAGCAATTAAGATGGGTTCCATGCTTTTCGAAACCTCCTGATCAAAGGCCTTTCTGTCGGATGTAGTTTATCGTCTGACCCAGGACGTTGATGAAGTATATCATCATACCAAGTATGGCCGTTCCCCTGTTGAAGTTTCAGCTAATACACAAATTTACAATTCCAGTGGGGAGGAGAAAATAATATTATTCATTTTTAGAGTATAAATATTACACCGTGATCTCCAGGCAGAGACTATGTATTACCAACGATAATATATAGCAAGTGTTCTAGATTTTGCTAGACGATCACCTATTAAAAGAATCGTGGTATTATTTATGTTCTATTACCTTTCGCTTTCTTTTAACCAATCAGATAAGAAACCCTTGTTTGAATTCTATTTATCACGTGTCTTCATACCTCGTCTCTGCCTAAGCGAAGGCAATGAACGATCAAACAGTGCGTTGTGCTGTTTCTTCGCTTAATACGACGAAGATGTTGCATCTCACCGTTACTCAATCTGCCCACAAAATCGTCATTTTTCGAAGTACACATATACATCCGCCATCAAATCAATGAAATTCTAGTTCATATTTTTGTGAGACTAAATATAATTGTCTGGAGTACTCTCATTTTCCGTGCTAAGGGAATAAACCCATAACACCAGGTAGATACTAGAAGAAAGGTTTATTGTACACAACAAATACAATAAGAAATACGGTAGTTATATACACAGGTCAATCTTGTAGGGAGTGCCACTAATTGGAAGGTCGGACGTGCTTGCATCTTCTCACTATCTCTCCTCCTCTTCGTTCCTTCGTAGATTGTCAACTTTATAGGTACTCACTACCTATAGTGAACTCATTCATGGGGGTGACTGGTTATTCCATTAAATCAAGTAGATTTTCAGATTCAACAACATTTCTAGAATTACCTAAGGCAAAACCTTATTTTTCTTTCGTTTACCAAAAAACAAATTAAATATTTGGTTTCCTCTGTATTTAAAGTGATTTCATTAAAAAAAACAAAAAAAAAACTGGATCCACTCGCGCATGTAGAGTTTGAAAAGTTTTGAATTCAGTATTACATCTGCTTTCATAATGTTATATTGTTCATGATGAAATAAATATTGTGTTTTAAATATTCATTTTTTAGTTTAAATAATAATAAAATCTGTTAGGTTTAAAAATTAAGGATTACTTGTATAAATTTTAAATTTTAGCTTAATCAATATGAGCGCGGCTCTACTTTTATACAACGATAACTTTCTTTACTTGGAGCGATTTGATTTTATTTCCCCTCTTCAAATTTACCAACGAAACTGTGAAACTTATATAGCGCTTCAGGTAAAGATTGCCAATTTAGCTTCTGTTCATTCTCTGCCGGGAAACTTATTTTAATTAGGTTTTGTTCATTTAAATACAGAACTTCATTCGTACAGCAGTTTATTAAACGTTCTTGTACATACATGTAATGACAAATTCGTTAGGAACATGTGAACTTCAATAATTATTATTGGATGTTGCTCAGCGGTTTGATCTTGAAGAACGTTAACAAAAAAATGAAAATTGATATCAACTCTTTAACGCGTCCTCTGGTGTTAAAAACATCTCACTAAAAGTTACTCGTGACTTTAGATAAAAAAGAAAAAAAAAATTCCGCAGTGAAAAATTAATGAAATGAAAACTAACTTTTATTGTCATTTTTTTCAGGAGATATTTATTGAAAGGTCAGTCAGTTATTTACCATGTGTGATACACGCTTAAGCGATCATGTATCTTTCGACAGATTTTTCCTCGCATTAGGTTGCCATTTCTTTCTGCAGTAAACCAGTTGTCATCCAAGGCTAGAGAACCCGGTCTGTACTGCTATTTACCTATAGCTGATGGGGAGAAGAGGAGAATTCATACCTTTTTCAAGAATATTAGCACATAAGGGTATGTAATGGATTCGAGTGGAATTCGAACTCAGCTCTCCGATTCCTCAATCCGAGCAGCTATCCATTACTCCACCGTGCCTCCTTACTGAAAGGTAACCATAGTTATTTACCCTCGAACTACTAGACTATAAAAAAATGGTAAAACTTCACTTATGGACAGTAGAACTGCATTGAATAAAGCGTCATTATCAGCTTAAACGTTCATATGTTTTAATTTACAAGGAAATTAGAGAAAGAACTGCCTTCTTCTTGGAATGAAGTTTACCTTAAGTTATCTCTATTATATACAAAAAGCTCAGAAATTCCTCTCCTGCTTTACCTGCACTCAAAATGGAGGGTTCGTAGATGTCAATACCCAGTGCAATTTTGGCCGCGAGAACTACGCAATTTTGTTTTCCTACATACACGCGTTTGATATTATAACATTTAACCGAAATCTTGTCATATCACAGCATTGTGGGAAGGCGATAGATAATGAAATTGTATTGTAGGTATCATTATGTCATGTGTTCCCGACTTTGAGCAATTTCCGACTATGATACTAGTAAACTTACCAACTCCAGTCATGTTCGTAAATAACTTCTTTAGATCGAGACTTTCATATGGAGACACTGAGTTGCTCTAAACTCATTCAAAAATAGCTAAACTAAATTCTCAGAGCGATAGTTAAAATGGCTTCGAGTAAACAAACACTGGATATCTAAGCAAAGATCATACCTCAAACTTTGTGGATTTCAGTAAAACACTACAAATAAAGATTTTTCCAAATAAAAGAAACCATTTATCTTACATATTTTCACCAACATAAAAACTAAAATTTATAGCACATGTAAATCGGAGTGAAGGTATTGGTATAATGAAGATAGTTACGTGTCATACTGCTTCGAGCAAAAGGGTAGGAAGAAAGCCTACCTCATTTCCACTCGAACAGTTTCTTCCCACGAACCACTGTTCTGTGAAACAGACTCTGGAGGGGGAAGGGATGAATACCATTGAGGAAAGCGGAATTTGAACTCGGATCGCCGATTCCCCGTCCCGCACTGATAATCGTTACACTATTCATAAAACGAAAGCGAATAGGGACTAAAAAATAGGAAAATCTCCTTTGATGACATCCAGGAAGATACAATAATTTTTTTCCGACATTTAACGCGGAAAGAAAGCTATGATTATGCATGTCCTAAAGAGAGATAGTTAGAGAAAGAGAGAGAGAGAGTGAGTGTGTGTGTATGAATATGTGTAAGAGAGAGTCACTTTCAATGATGATAATACTTAAACCAATTCGATATATAATTACAATCTCAATCTATTCAAGTCGTAAGTTAAGCGTTATCTTCTGCTCCAATCCATATAAACTTCATCTTACAAGCTACCTCGTGTAGTGATTTTCTAAGCTCGGCTGAGATGTGGCACAAGGCCGAAAGTATGGGGCACCCAGTGAGGTTCGAACTCACTACTCAGTCGTAAATGATCTAGCAAGACAAGCTTTCTGATCATTACACCACGTCGAGCTGCTCAAAGTGATTTTCCAAGCGTAGCTTAGATGTGGCACAAGGCCGAAATCAGGAGGCATCCAGTGAGGATCGAACTCACTACTCAGTTGTAATTGATCAAGCGAGACAAGCTTTCTAACCATTACACCGCCTCGAGGTGCCCACAAGCCATCTCGTGTATCCCCCGAAGCTTGTACAGAGTGAACCTTACTGTAAAAAAATATACAGGAAAGAGTAATATTATTTATTGGACTTGAGAAATTTGTTTTCAAGAAAAATTATTTCAAGAACATTATATAAATAACTAGCAGTAGAGCCCGGTGTTGCCCGGGATATAATAGTAAGAGATAGATCAAGTAACGACCATCATAAAGACTGAAAAATAAAATTGACAAAGATTATTGTTTAAGGTTGACGGACACGCATGTCTTAATTAGTTTTCTTTTTCTTTTTTAACTAATTGGTCAAACCCAAACTAAAAAAAAAGCATTGTTTGCAATCGTTATGAGTCTACCGATTGAATAGAATTTTATTATAAACAATTGTCTTGTAAATGGAATTTTTAAAGCATTCTGAATGTAAAAATAAAGAAAAAAGTGTGCAAGACAATAAGAAACCCTACCTGCCAAAAAAAAGTGAAGTTTTGTTAAAATCGGTTGAAAAATGTAGAAAATCCGACCCCATATATAAACGAACACATACGCACACACACACAAACAACCTGGGTTTTATAATAAGTATAACTCGATATGAGCTGTCTCCCTTTCATTAATGCATCTTAATCGTGTTTTCAAATTGATTTTGTGCAAAAACAATTGTATTTTTCCAATTTTTGGCGCTGTCAGAAACACCGCAAGGTAATTTTATGTAGTTTTGTTGAAATCGGTTGAAAAATGTAGGAAATCTGATTCAATATATAAACGTACACACACACACACACACACACACACATACACACACACACACACACAACCTGGGTTTTATAATAAGTATGATAATTAAATATAACATAAATTGTAACGATAATAGACATGGTTGCTCACCCGTTGAATGATGAATGTTTCTTTATAATGTAACGGGTTAATATTAATATTGCAATAACCCTGTAGCTTACGTATTCTACTCCTGAATAAACTAAGCTACATGGGTTATGCTATTTATTCCAACATCAGCGCGCAAAAGGAAGATACAAATTTCTACTTAGCTCATATTCACACGTGTGAGCACAGCCCTTAAAACCCAAGTCGATATTATGTGGGTGGTTTAAGCAAAAATTTGATCAGCCGTACTAGGCTTCGTTTCGTAATTTAGTCGCTTATTATTAGAATGTTGGCTGTTTGTTTATTAATTAGTTTCTATTTGGCAAATTTATTATCTTGCTTTCCCACTCAGAAGTGAAATATGTAGAGATAAATGTACCTGATCGTTAAAAAGTCATTTTAATAAATAGAAATACCGTCGATTTTCCTTTTAATATAAAGCAGAAGAGGCTTTGTCCGACGAATTGCAACCCTGCACCAGCACCTCAATCGGTGCACTTAAATACCGTAATTCTCCATGTTTTTTTTCTAAAAAATAATAAGCAACGCCAGGGAGTGCGTATTATGCACAGGTACAAAAAGCTTTTAAAAAATTGCCGTAAAATAAAATAAGAATTATCATAACACTAAATTAAATAATATTAGTCTATGTTTAAAACCATTTTTTAATTAAGAGAAGGAAACACTGACCGTAATGAAACTGGAAAGGGACAATTTATAGTGTTTGATTACCAAACAAGGGGTGCGTATTATGCGTGCGTAGAATCATTTTCCCACAATTTCAGCACGAGTTTAGGTGTGCGTATTATGGATGAAGGCGTATCATGCATGGTGAATTAAGGTAGGAAAATCTGTGGGATATGAGCGCTATCGTAACAGTGGACGCGGGGTCAAGACAATTTTTAAATGGCGGTTGGCAATCCCAACGTTAAAAACCAGCTTGTGTCGTATCTTTCCACCGTGGCGAAGTGAGGAAATAATAATCTATAAATAATTGCATAAAGATATATAGCTTCTCGACCTTTTTCCTAC